GAATCCTCCTTTTAAAGCTGGTCTCTCAAATACTCTAATGAAGTGTAAATAAATATTCCAAAAGAGTACGACAAAAAACTAGATAGATTTACCTAATTGTATGATAAAACCGCAGATCGTCAGATAACGTCGTCTATGGTGAACAAGCTTTTAACGTCGGAACTGATCAAATATCATTTTTCTATTCAGTTTTCGACGCTGAATAGAAAAAAGTAATTTTAAAATTATAAATAGAAAATAAGACAAAAATTCGAACTGTTTCCAACTCGAAGAATTTTCCCCCTTTTAGAACTCTTCGAGTATTTTCGATCTTTCGACATGAAAAACCGGTTTTGAAAAGTTAAAAATAGAGTTTTGTTAAAAGTTTTGATGATAGTTTGCATTAATGGCACCTTATAAACTGAGTGAGAACTACCACTAATAGTATGGATTATACTGCAGTTAGAAATGTTCAGTTTAACTATTTGATGATTCATATAAAAATTGATTTCATAGATCTGAAAATCTTGGATCCTTCTTATCAAATCTGAGCATGCAACTTCCAGCATTACCGTTAATACTGGTAAATAATAATAGTAATAGTAATAGACAGTAAATGGGTTAGGAACCTACGGTAACGGCCGATCTTTGCTTCATTCGGGCTCAATGCTTAGAGTTACAACTAATATTATCAAGAAATCGTAACTTCGTAGGTTTCTGACCCATTTATCGACTCTTACCGTTTTTTTACCGCCTGGACAAATCGCATTTTGTTATCGATTTTAGCTTTCGGTAACCTTTATTTCAAAAAGAAATCAAAAGTAGATTTATGCGGCAGTCAGTTATAAGCTTCAGCTGAACGAGCGAGAGTTCTTTTATTCCATTGTATTTTTTTAGACCAAACGAAATTCAAAGCTTTTGCTCCAATCTTGTGGTATACCTATCGAACTATCTACCTCTCTCTTTCTTCTTGCTGTAGGAAAATAGAACAATGACACAAAATCAAAATGAAGTGATGCCAAGTCAACAGCAACAACAAGAACCTGCTGCTGCTTTTAAAATAATAACTATACCAATACCATCGTTATCAGAGAAAGAGAAAGAACAATTTAAGAGTATTTATGATCTACATAGTAAGAATAAAAAGACTTTAATATTAGCAGTACTTGGTTTAGTTGGTCTATTATTACCATTTGCTGATCTTATATATCTTCCATCATTGCCGCGAATGATAGAAAATTTAAAAACAACAGAAACATTAGGTTCATTAACTGTTAGCATATGTCTGTTGACATCGTGTCTATTCGGCTTACTATGGGGTGTTATCTCAGATTGTTATGGACGTAAACCAGTCACACTAATTGGCTTAACTACATTTTGTTTATGGACAATAGGATGTCGATATTCACCCAATATCTATGCTCTCCTAATATTTCGTGGTTTACAAGGTTGTTCAATTAGTGTTTCACTAGTTGTTGGACAAGCTGCACTAGCTGATCTCTATCATCCATCGGAGCGCGGTAGAGCTATGGGTATCTTCTACGTTTTCT